GGGGCGCAGTGATATCCCTCCGCCATGGGATCACCTGTGGGGCGCAGTGATATCCCTCCGCCATGGGATCACCTGTGGGGCGCAGTGATATCCCTCCGCCATTGGATCTCCTGTGGGGGTGCGGTGGTATTCGTCCGCCATTGGATCACCTGTGGGGGTGCGGTGGTATCCCTCTGCCATTGGATCACCTGTGGGGGTGCGGTGGTATCCCTCCGCCATTGGATCACCTGTGGGGGTGCGGTGGTATCCCTCCGCCATTGGATCACCTGTGGGGGTGCGGAAGGGGAATGTATCCCCTTCCTTTCTATACTCTGCCCACCCTGTACTGGAATCGCACAGTTCTGGGGTCAGATACTACAACTGAGATTAGTAAAACCCTGACCCTATGTAACCCCTCCCTTTCTATGCTCTGCCCCACTCTGTACCGGAATCACACAGTACTGGGGTCAGATACTACAACTCTGAGATCATTAACTGGTTTGCATACAAAATTCTAACAAAACACAAAGTAAAATCTTAAATTCTTCTTTGCAGAGATGGCAGAAGAACTCGCTAAACAGTTGGCCGGCTACAAAGCCCAATTCCAGCAGGTGGAGGCCGCGCTGACCGCCGATGGCGACAATGAGGATTTGCTGAAACTGAAAAAGGATTTGACGGTGAGTGTGCGCGCCATGAGGCCGCCTGTCATGTACTGTTCTCTTTATGTGACCGCTTCAGACCGCACCAAGTAACAAAGTGGCAACCCATCCCCGCAGCTGTCCTTTTTGTTTCCTTCTACATCGGTTATTGTTTCAGGACATCATCAGTGGTGAGAGGCGCTCATTGCGCTCATCTCTGTACTAGAAGCACGCATCATCTTAAAAAAAAAAAAAAAGTTTTAGTACATAATAGATGCTTATTACTAGGGATGCACTGATACCGTTTTTCGGTATCGAATACCTATATTTCTTTTTCCGGTACTCGCCGATAACGGAAGTCCCGTTAAGGAAGCCAGGCGGCGTGTAAAGACTCGCCACCCGGCTTCCCGATTAGCAGGGAAGCCGTCTCCATGCTCTCTCGTCGCCAAGTGACGAGGAAGCATGGAGCCGGCTTGCTGGCCAATCAGGAAGCCAGGCAAGTAGCTTTCTGGCCAATCAGGAAGCTGGGGGGCGGGTAATGACTCGCAGTCCGGGTTCCTGATTGGCCGGGGAGCCGGCTCCATGCTCCCTCGTCACCAACGCAAGCTCCAGTATCGGACTAGGCATCGGAGCATTTGGGTGAGTACAAGTACTCGCCCAAGTACTCTGTAACAGCACCAATACTATTGCTCAGGATCTGTGCATCCCTACTTACCATTTTTATTTATTTTTTCCTTTTTATAATGCTTTTATAAAGTACAGGAAATGACCCTGTGATCCTGCCAGAAATCCACTGGGCTCCTAACTTCCTGTAGTGAGCTGACAACACTGCCTCTGCTGTACTAGCCTGCCTTGCCACCAGGAAACGTGCTGAATGTCAAGCTTCAACCACAAATCTGCACAATCTCAATTTTTTTTTTCCCTTCAATTTCAGGAAGTCATTGAACTGACTAAAGACCTCCTCGACTCCCAACCCTCTGAAGCCCCCGAAAATGCAGATGGCCAAACCTCTGCCGGCGGTACCCATGTCTGGAAAGTGGGGGATCGTTGTATGTCAGTTTGGGGGGAAGATGGACAGTAAGTGGCGTGCTGCATAGTATTGGTTTACCATATGATGTGCTGGGAGTCGGTAAGACCTGCTGGGATAAGGCTTGTTTTCCATTGTGAGCGGTACCAGTGTGTTAGCCCTTTAGAGGGCATGCAGGGAATGGTATGTCAGTGATTGTTTAACAGAAATGCCGACTTTATTTATTGATGTGTAGAGGGCAATATTTGCAAAATGCACTTTAATCTTCATTTTAGGGTAGATCAGTTGTGCGAAAATTAGGAGTGTATGCCCATCTTAGTTGGAATACTTGGGGTCTACTTTCCTTTGTCCCTCCCAATGCACATAAGAATTCCTTCTATTTGGACAAATTCACTGAATTTTTTTGTCCGTAGTCCTCTCTAAGGTCACGGGAGGACATTTACTATGTCCTCCTGTGACCCAAAACTCAGCATATAGCGGGTTATTGCCTGCTGTATGCTGCCAGCGCAGAGTCGCGCTGCAGCTGGGAAAGATACCAACAAATATTGTGGGGATCCAACCCACTGCCTGATTGTCAGCTGGCTCTGTCCGCCCTCTCTGTCCGCCCCCCCCTGCCCTCTCTGTCCCTCCAGTGAGCTCTGTAGGAATAGAAAGAGGGGAGGGGGGGAATCCCTGCAGGGGGAGGTGACTGGCAGTCACTACTCTATGCAGGGAGAAGATTGTGAATGGAGTGATCAGTAGTATGTGATTGGTCAGTTCTCGATCAATAGAGCCGACGTGTGACCGCTACACACACACCGCACGCCGGCTCAAATTATGGGGACGATTGCATTTCACTCATCCCATATTCCACCTTTAAATATGTGTGAAGCAGAAGGGGCACCACACCAATGGTTCTTCTTTTCTTACAACATAGAATGATGTTTTCTTGACACATCTGTGGAGTAAGAGGGCCAACGTGTTTCACGGGTTCAAACCCTCCCCCCTTTATCAGGGTCTCTATATGATAACTTCAGAAGTGGCTGGACTGGAGTAAATATATATCTATTGCATCAGATTAACGCCAGTGGATTGTGCTACGATCTGTTGCTGCTAATATGTGATGAGATGTTTGAACCCCTGAAACGCGTTGACTTTTATTCCTCTGATTTTCAGTAACGAGCTATTCTCGCCATTGGTGTGGCTCCATTACTGTTTCCGGCCTATTCCAGTTTTTATTTCTGCCTGTGCCCCATTTAAGCTTTCTCCATCACCTCCTGCCTGTTGATACTGTTGTCATCAGGAGAGGAAGTGAGGGGAAATCTTTGCAACGGAGTCCCAGATGGCAGTAGAAACACGTCGGGCGTTCTAATCCTAGTTCAGTCAAAACTAAGAAAGAAGTTCTACTTTCACTTTGATAACTAGACACCGGCAGAGGAGGGGGGGGGGGGGGCTCTTGGATTGCACTGTATGATGTTGGCGTCATGCTGGGTTGCAGGCCATTACTCACATGCTTACAGCCATGATCTCTTTACAGGTGGTACGAAGCCGAGATCGAGGAGATCGATGAAGAGAACGGCACCGGGGCCATCACCTTCATGGGTTACGGAAACGCCGAAGTCACGTCTCTGCTCAACCTGAAACCCGTGGAGGAGGGAAGGAGATCGAAGGAAATCAGCGGCAGCCTACCCATGTCAAAGTGCGTATGTCTTCTAAACTGGCGCCATTTTTCTGTAGCTGTATCTTAAAGGAGAACTATGAGGGGGGTGCTTTTCACTCACCTCATAGTTCTAGCCGACCTGTGACAATGAGACTGTCACAGGTCGGCTCAGTAGTTTGGGAGGTGAGCGAACACATACCGGCGTTCGCTCACCTCTCGATCCTGTCACAGCTCTCTGCCGTGACAGGGGAGGGGCTGGATTTCCCCCTCCCCGCTCCGATCCGCCAACGCTGACTGGCGGAACGGATGGGGGAGGGGGCGGGTACAGCTGGCTCTGCCTCTAGATAGGCAGAGCCAGCTGTCAGTCACGCAGCTGGGCGGATCCCGGCACAATTGTCAGGATCCGCTTCAGCTGCGGCGTCTCAGTATACCGCGAGCTACAGCTGAGCCTAGGGTGACGGGAGGACGCTAGTTTGTGTCCTCCTGTTACCCTAAGGAGAACTATGGGGGAAAAGCCCTGACCCCATAGTTCTCCTTTTAACTGGCTTCTGCCGACCCTGTTCCTTATATGTGGTAGCACATCGATGGGCTTGAACGTTGAGCTGCCACACATATGCCTACAACCGGCTTTCCATGTGTGCGCTCGTCTCCTCCAGCTCTATGACTGCACTGTCACCCTCCGCTGGCAGTCACTGCTTATGATAGGGAGTCCATTAGATGGGGTCCCAGCCAGTCACACTTCTGCTGTTGTGAGCTTTTAAAAGGCTGACTGGGAAGGGTTAAAGAATAATTAAACTCTCAGGGTAGATCTAGCCCAAAAAATAACAGTTACCAAAAATGTAACTGAGCCTCCGCTGCTCGCTCCCGTCTGATAATCTGAAGCTAGATGAAAGTAGTCACTCGCACTCCATGATATTAAAGTCAGTGCTGTTTATTGACTGAGACAACACACATCTCCTTTGCTAAGGAGATGTGTGTTATCTCAGTCAATAAACAGCATTGACTTTAATATCATGGAGTGCGATTGACTACTTTCATCTATCTACATTTCACGGAGGCATCCGTTGTCACTACCGCACCCACCGTCACAAGTCCTCAAGCGTCCCAAGTCCTCTAGCACTCCTTACCGGAAATCCCAAAGAGGTTGAACGGGTGCTGGAAATGACAGCGGATGGCGCCGCATATAGAACAACTGTGGATGTAGACTTCACCAGGCACGACAAAAACACATGGGTCAGTGCCAATCCATTTAATGATGTCACTCGGAAAATCAAGCGCTTTCGGGGGCCACTCTGGGGTCCACTCTGAGCCTGATGAAGGGGACCCTGCGTGGCCCTGAAAGCGCTTGATTTTCCGAGTGACACATCATTAAATGGATTCGCACTGACCCATGTGTTTTGTCGTGCCTGATAATCTGAAGCTTCTCGAGCAGCTGTGCAGGGTAATGGGACGGGCGCATGCGCAGTAAAGATCTTCGGCGGGGAGAAGAGGAGACACACAATGGCACAATGGAGGCAGCAGCCTGCGCTAGATCAGAGACCGGCACCAGCGCTGGAGGGATTGCTGAATACAAGTGGAAGGAAGATTGGTTCAAGGGGCTTCATTTAAGGGAAGTTCTTAAAGGAGAATTATGAGGAGTGCTTTTCACTCACCTCATAGTTCTACCCGACCTGTGACAATGAGACTGTCACAGGTCGGCTCAGTAGATCGGGAAGTGAGAGAACACATACCGGCGTTCACTCACCTCTCAATCCTGTCACGGCTCTCTGCCGTGCCGGGAGTGACTGGATTCCCCCCTCCCGTGTCCGATCCGCCAGCGCTCACTGGCGGAGGGGGGCGGGTACAGCCTCTAGATAGGCGGAGCCAGCTGTCAGTCACGCAGCTGGGCGGATCCAGACATAATTGTCGGGATCCGCTTCAGCTGCGGCGTCTCAGTATATAGGGAGCAGTAGCTCGCGGTATACTGAGCTTAGGGTGACGGGAGGACGATAGTTTGTGTCCTCCCGTTACCCTAAGGAGAACTATGGGGAAAAGCCCTGACCCCATAGTTCTCCTTTAAAGCAGCGAGGGGGGGGGGTGGATTTGTCACTTTAAAGCCTACTTGATCTTTGTTTAAATCAACTAAATACATTCTAGGTGCATCAAAACAAAGTTTTACAGTTCATTTTTTTTAGAACATCCTATCCCCTACACATTGCTGCAGGGAAGGTCCCTTGCTCTCTGTGGGGGAAGCACTGGTCCTTGCAGAGGTCTGCCATTTCCCTTAGAACTAAAGCTCTCCAGTATGGATCGGAGCTTTGCTGATTGCAGAGTTATAGATCTGACTTAACAGGGGACTTGTCAGGACACTACAGAGGCAACTGCTTTCATACATAGAGCAAGAGTCTTACAGCTGCTGGCCGGGGACAGGCTTTTCTACTCAGGATGTGTCTAAAGCTGCTCATACACCTTACAACCATTGCACGCCTTTCGTTGTGCGATGGTTGTAAGGTGATTAAAATGTCGTACGACTTGCGCATCTTGGACAAAAAGATCGTACTTGCGATCATCGGAAGCCCTCCCCGCCAAGGGGAGGGCTTCTGATGATTGCAGTGCTGAGCGGGCAGTGTGCGCTTGCACACCCCTGCCCGTGCGGCATTCGTCTTCTGAGCACGCCACTAACCCGCCGACAAACGGACGATTTTTCGGCATGTTCTCCAGCGTACTCGGAAGACTAAAGTCGTGCGGACGTACAGTAGAAGCGGTCGCACGCTGCCCATACACCTGCCAATTATCGTGCGATTGCGGGGTCACCCACAACTATCGTACCATAATCGGCAGGTGTATGGGCACCTAAAAGAAGACAAACCAAATACTTTGCACAGCTTTTATTTTGATGCACCTGCCGGCTAGTTAACTGATTCAGACTGAAAGTTTATTTGGGCTTTCGAGGTTCCTGACCTGGCTGAAGACTTTTCTAAAGTGAAGCCATGCTAAAATACAGGTACTGGGGTCCAATGACCGCCCCGGGTCTCCCCTATCAATCAGGAGCCAAGTGATGTGGTTCTCAATCTTGTAATTGCACATGCGACTAGGACATGTGACCATGCACATCATCTCAGGGGAAAAATAATGCCGTTCCCTGAGATCTCGTGAGATTTAGCAGTTTACAAATTAGATTTCCCAGCCATGCAGTGTGATGTAACCTTCCCAAGATGCATCTCTTATGCACAGGCTACATCACTAATGCCTAGGAGGACCAGAAAGTGTAAAAAAAATAATTGTAAGTAAAATAAAAATATGTTTATATAACGAATGTAAGATGATTTCATATCGGCATGCAGAGCTGAATGCTAATGTGATTTTTTTTTTTTTTTATACCGCGAGCAGTAGCTCGCGGTATACTGAGCTTAGGGTGAAGGGAGGACGCTAGTTTGTGTCCTCCCGTTACCCTAAGGAGAACTATGGGGAAAAGCCTTAACCCCATAGTTCTCCTTTTAATGAAAGGGGGTATACTTTTGACCTAGTGATAGCCAAAGCAATAGATCATAGCAGAAATGTAACAATTGCTCTGGTCCATGGGCAGTGGCGTCACAAGGGGGTACGGCTCACACCCAGGTGACACCATTGGAGGGGTGACACCAAAATGACCGACAGCCATTTTGGTGTCCCTACCTTCTGAAAAGTCGGACGCTCGGTCCAGTTTCGGGAGAGAGGAGGGGACCCGGTGGCATACCTTATCCCGCCGGGTGACTGTCCCCTTCTCTGCCGGTGTCCATCACCAAGATGGCCGCCGACAGGTATCAATAAGATCGCCGCTTATGAGCTTTGACGTCACGGCGGGGTGACACCCGACCTCGGGACGCCCCTGTCCATAGAGGGATGTACAGGTGTGAGAGCTGAACTGTTCACACTGTGGGGTTGAGATGTGCCCGCCTGGATCCTGACCTTTTGTGTAATGCTTTTACAGGAAAGAACTGATTGCCCAGCAGAGGGAATATAAGAAGAAGAAAGCACTGAAGAAAGCTCAGAGGATAAAAGAACTGGAGCAGGAGCGAGAGGATCAGAAATCGAAATGGCAGCAGTTTAATAACAAAGCGTATTCCAAGAACAAGAAAGGACAGGTACTCTCCCATTCGGTACTGTTAGAACAAAATGCTTGGTCCGGCGTTGTCTGGTAGTTACAGTGTATGTAATCCCGAGCAATGATCTGCTCTTTGTTCCACTTCGGTCTGTTAAATATCCCATTGAAAGCATTTTCTTCTATGTGTTCAATAAGTGATCCTGCCAGGAATCCAGTCAGCCGATAGCTCTGTTCTCTTCTTTCCTGTACTGCGCTCGGATCACTTACCTTATTCCCAGCGCACTCTACACAACAGAACACCCATGTATAGTTTGTCCCAAACACTCACTTTTGCTGGACAGCTCGGTCTGCATTATACCAGGTAGCCGAGAATGTTGCAGCGCTATTTTCTTATTGCTAAAGCTCCGTGTCCATGCGTTGGAACACCGCTTGACCAGTAGGGGGAGGAGTTGCTGCAAAACTCCCCATTCCATATTTGCTGAATGGAGTCCTTCCTGTCTCTTTATATAAAAGTCCTAATTTAAAACGGGGACATGATGTTCTTAGTTATGGCTGCCTGTAAAAAAAAATGTGACACCTCCAGCTTGTCCCCTCATCAGACTGTGTACATTGTGTCCTGGCAGTGGATCTGGCTCACTCAGAAAGGGCACTAATCAGCTCTGCAATGCTAATCTCCCATAGCAAGCAAGCTTCTCACTTTACCGCTACAGTAAACAGAACTATAAATCGGAGGGAGTCAGGCTTAGGTGCCCTCGGACTGTAATATATTGCAGCTTACCAGCCCTTAATGTGCGGGTGCATTTCTATTTTTTTTCCCCCTATTTATTCTCTTTTTAAGGGTTTAAATGCAGTCACATGTAATAAGCACCTTATAGTTCATAAGGCGTAGTACAAGACATTTGTGTACTTTGAAATCTGAACTCCAGGATGGTTTCTAATTTTCACCATCACTTACTGTCTCTATGCACATGTTAAACCTACCTAGTGTTTGAGTACCGAATTTGCCGGCGTATAAGATGACTCAGCGTATAAGACGACCCCCTACTTGTTGTGTTAAAACATAGGTTTTTGGGCTATACTCGAAGTATAAGACGAATATAGCCCAAAATAATGTTTAAATGCACCCACTAACATCCATGGCGGTATTCCCGAGTGTGGCTCGGGGTTAACTTTCAGTACCATAAGCGGTAACCCCGAGCCACACTCAGGATTACAGTCTCTTACCTTGTCCACGATCCCCGCTGTGTCCTCCCGTCTTCCGCTGAGTCAATCACGGTAGGCTTTGCATTCATTAATACAAAGCCTGCCGTGATTGGCTCAGCGCTGTATACTGTATGTAGCCAAAGTTACATACAGTATACCGTATCCTTCCGTATAAGACGACCCCTGATTTTGGGGATGTTTTAAGGTTTCAAAAACCGTCTCATACGCCGGCAAATACGGTAAGTTGCCTTCTATAGAGTCAGTGATGTCACTGCTTTCATGGAGAAACTGCAGGTATGTCTGGGCACCGGAAGGCTGTATCATTGAAGCACCAACATCCTTTCCGAAGCCACTGGAACACTCAAGTATCTACAATTTACGCAGCACTTTGCACGTGCAAATGCACATCAGTCCCTGCCCTCATTAGGCCCCGTTCACACCTTTCCGTTTTGTCGGGCGTTCAACGCTCTATGAACGCTCTACAAAACGTACAACCATGAAAATCCCATTGTTTTCTATGGGTCTGGTTCACACCTTTCCGTATTTCCGCCCGTCTGAACGCCCTACAAAAGGGCTGACGCCCAAACAAGTACATGTACTTCTTTGGGCCGTTTTGGAGGGCGTTTTCCATTGGGACACAGCCAAGTAGCCTTCGGAATCGCGCGACGGTCGCGCGATTTTTTTACCTTGAATCGCGGTAAAAAAAAACGCGTGACAGACGTGCATGCGTAATACGCCTAGGTGTGAACCCAGCCTTAGATTGGGACTTTACATTGTAAGCTCCCTCAAGGACCCTATCGCACACGCATGCATACACACAGGGCTGATTTAAACAGGAGCCAACCAGCATATCTTTGAGGAGGAAACCAGAGTATGCAGAGGAAACCCACACAAGCACAGGGAGACCCTGCAAACTACTTGCAGATAGCGTCCATGCTGGGATTTGAACCGGGGACTCAGTGCCGCAATGCGGAGGTGCTAACCACTACGTCAGTGTAGGGGGAATTTCAATTCCATTGCTGCTATTACAAAATGTACAGCTGCACAGGGGGAAGTTTTAGATTGGTGGCCAGGAAACATGCGGGCATGGCTAGGCATAGGAATAAAGCACGGCCCTTGCATGGCTTTGGCAGGGGAAAGACAACCGGGTGCTTGCCGGCAAGGAATGTGTCCTCTCTCTCCAACCAAACGGTAATATAGTAATGGAAGAATCCGTCCGCACTCCATTCCACACTAAACTAGTTTATTGAAAGTACGTCGGTGACACTTGAGTCCTGCGCGAGGTCCACCCCCTCTGCATAGCTTATACATAGGAAAAGGGGGACATTGAGCCCTTTATATGCAGGATTGCCGGAGTCATTTCTCTGTGGCTACTGCACTGTATATTATTATTATTATTACATAGTATTTATAGAGCGCCAACAGTTTGCACAGCGCTTTACAATATAAGGAAGACATTACAATACAATTCAAGACAAGATGGTAAGGAGGGCCCTGCACCTGAGGGCTTACAATCTAAGAGGGAGGGGCCAGTGATACATGAGGAGGGAGCTGTGTGGGGGATGATTTGTTTGAGAACGTGATAGTTCAGTGGTCAGGTTGAGGTGGGATCGGCTTCCCTGAAGAGATGAGTCTTTAGTATATAAAAAGATGATGTTGCTTGAAGGTAAAAAATGTAATTTCTAAAAGTGCTTTTACATTTCTGGCCGGAGTTTATCTTTACACCTGTAGATAAAATAGTGCGACTCTTGTCTAATTACAAGTAGCACCACCCAGGTCTCGGAGATATTTTACATGTTGCCCACAGTGGCCCCTTTTGTGCGCCCCCTGAATTTGCTTTTAGGGCTAGTTCACACAAGGCACGGAGCAGTTGCAGAGCAGGTGCAGACCGGATCAAAACTGCGTCCAATGTATTCCAATGGTATTTTTTGCTCCAGTTCACATCGCAGCATGCAGATTCAGAGCAGGTAAAAAAAACTGCAGCAGGCCCTATTTTACATGCTCTGGATCTGCAAACGCATCAAAAACGCATGCAAATGCCTGGAACGCACTGAAAGCCCATGTTAAACAAAAAAAAAAAATTTTTTTTTTTTATTTAGCCAAAAATGCATCTAAAAGACTAGCGTGCGTGTGCAGAAACCTGACCGGATCTGCTCTGCATTTGGTGTGAACAAGGCCTTAGTTTACTACGGACTCAACTTCACCAATTTCTGCGCTAAGCCCCACTAACTGTCCCCTTGTCCAATGTGGGCACCTCAGGGGTGTAGTCTGACTGTCATCGTGAGCTAAAGAGGGAGGATGGGTGACTCGCCCTGAGCAGAGTCTTTCAGTACTCTGGGAATAAAATGGAGAGGTAGAAAAATCGGGTGTTTTTTTTTTTTTTTACTTCAATTGCTGATTTGCTGCGGGTGATTGGTCGGCTTGATCTGATGTGATGGACGCAAGATGGAACTGACCCTTTTAAAATGTTTTAAAAATGTCCGTTTGCCTTTATGTAACATTTGAGTAACGTGTTCCTTCTTTTCTCTCCAAATCATCAGGTGAAAAGAAGTATTTTTGCCTCTCCGGAGAGCGTCACCGGCAAGGTTGGAGTCGGCACCTGCGGCATCGCGGACAAACCAATGACACAGTATCAAGACACTTCCAAATACAACGTCCGGCACCTGATGCCCCAGTAACACGCACCACCTTCACCTTTTTATCCTTCTATTTTTCTAAAACTAAATTATTTGTCGTCATATGAAGATTAGCATGGCTCTCTGAGGATTCGGTTGTAAACAACAAGGATTTGGGTAACAAACGGGCAGACTTTTGTGTTAACGCGCGTTGGGCATTCGAGCAGGAAGCGTATTTGGCATCGGCAAGGTCTTTGGTGTCTTTCTCAGCCCGCGCGGAGCACTCTGCAGGCGCAAAGGAACTGCAGATAACCAGGCAGGGAGTATTCGGCACTTCAGTTCCTCTGCGGCTGCTGGTTCCGCACACAGCTGGGTTGCTATAGGCGGTCTGAGCGGTTCTGATGTTTCAGCCAAAACCAACATCACCATTTTTCTTCTTACTATTTGCAGCACCAACCTAGAACTTGAAGGCTGAACCCACCCAGCGCTGATGTTTTTGTTGGTCTGTGGTTGCTGGCATTTGCTTGGGAGGGGGCTAGCTATCTTCTGGCGCTGGCCACATACAGCAGCCAATTAAAAATGGTGTCCTGCTTCTCCGACGGATACCACATGATGCAGTATAACGGGGAGTCTGGCTGCAAGAGATGGACACCCACATTAAGGCTCCTTATGGAAGAGACAAACTGCTGCCAGGAAACATTGCCACCGGAGTTTTCAGGGTGCTAAAAGAAGCGGGAGAGTGATGTAACCCACTAAGGCCAGACAGACTGCATCATAAGGTGCCATACCTTAACTTCCATGTTAAAATCCTCCTGACGGGGCTACCCTACGAGTACCCAAACTTCCATGATATAGGACCTGCCTTCAGAGTGAATGGTCACCAGACCACATGTGGTGTTAAGTGGGGGGTTGGTTGACGTGTCTAAGCCCGTGCCTGTGACTATACAGGCTTTCAGGGGGTTTGCATAGGAATTTTGGATGGGTCTAACCGTTCTGTCTAAAATATTATTTTGTTGTGGAAGGTATGCCGCTCGAGTGTGGGTACACTTTTAAGACCTGGGCAAAGTGACAGGTTCTCTTGTATAATCTACCTACTGATATTTGCTTTCTGTTGTTCAGTCCATGGCAAATATCTGGTCCTTCAGGGTGCCCTCCTCCCAGCATTCAGCAATGTCAGTCTCCAGGCCTGAACACTATCACAGGAGGAGGAAACTAACCCTGTGTAAGATCCTGCATGGAGGTTCAGACTTATGGCTCTCTCAAAGGAATGGAACGGGGGGGGGGGCATCGCTGAATTGGCATGGGAAGTGGAAGGTTCCCATTACACGAGAGCCTGTCGCTTTACTTTGAATGGTCTAGTTAAATCTGATGCATAAGACTGGAACTTTAGAATTGTCTTGTATAATGTTTTAGGCTCGCAGCTTCCTTTATACTACAGAGCCAAAATGTGTTCTGCCGAACTTCCACTATACAGCAATCTGCAGAGGACCTTCATCTTTGTCTTGTATATGTCTTCCTGCACATTTTTACTAAATAAGTTGAGTTTCTTTCGTCGCCATTCTTTTCTCTCCCGGCAGAGTTATTTCTGTTGCCACGGGATAAGACCCGGTTGTGCTTTGCTTTCTGCAGAATATTACATTGGGGTTGGTGGTCAGTGGGGTGCGTCGGTGACATCCCCCTTACATTGGTGGTCAGTGGGGTGTGTCGGTGACATCCCCCTTACATTGATGGTCAGTGGGGTGCGCCCGTGACATCCCCCTTACATTGGTGGTCAGTGGGGTGTGTCGGTGACATCCCCCTTACATTGATGGTCAGTGGGGTGCGCCCGTGACATCCCCCTTACATTGGTGGTCAGTGGGGTGTGTCGGTGACATCCCCCTTACATTGATGGTCAGTGGGGTGCGCCCGTGACATCCCCCTTACATTGGTGGTCAGTGGGGTGTGTCGGTGACATCCCCCTTACATTGATGGTCAGTGGGGTGCGCCCGTGACATCCCCCTTACATTGGTGGTCAGTGGGGTGTGTCGGTGACATCCCCCTTACATTGATGGTCAGTGGGGTGCGCCCGTGACATCCCCCTTACATTGGTGGTCAGTGGGGTGTGTCGGTGACATCCCCCTTACATTGATGGTCAGTGGGGTGCGCCCGTGACATCCCCCTTACATTGGTGGTCAGTGGGGTGTGTCGGTGACATCCCCCTTACATTGATGGTCAGTGGGGTGCGCCCGTGACATCCCCCTTACATTGGTGGTCAGTGGGGTGTGTCGGTGACATCCCCCTTACATTGATGGTCAGTGGGGTGCGCCCGTGACATCCCCCTTACATTGGTGGTCAGTGGGGTGTGTCGGTGACATCCCCCTTACATTGATGGTCAGTGGGGTGCGCCCGTGACATCCCCCTTACATTGGTGGTCAGTGGGGTGTGTCGGTGACATCCCCCTTACATTGATGGTCAGTGGGGTGCGCCCGTGACATCCCCCTTACATTGGTGGTCAGTGGGGTGTGTCGGTGACATCCCCCTTACATTGATGGTCAGTGGGGTGCGCCCGTGACATCCCCCTTACATTGGTGGTCAGTGGGGTGCGCCGGTGACATCCCTGTTACATTAGTGATCCCCCCCCCATTATAGTGCCTACATTATACTGCTCTCCATTATAATGGTGCTCATCATCATAGTAGTACGAAGAATCCCCAGTGTGACCCTTTTGTCCCCCATCAGAAGCGCATTCCTTCTTCCATATGCAGAGGAGCAGCCAGACATACCACGAATCCTCCTCCCTGATCCATCTCGGATGCTTGTATGCACCGTCCTATACAGGAACCTGGGATGGATGCTAGAGGTGAATAGCAGGACCAGTACAGAGGGCTTTGTTTTGCTGCCGCTTCCCTGCAACACTCTGCAGATGGGGGGGAATGCATCTGATGGGGGTAAGCAAGGCAGGATGCTATCTACCCATCATGTAGCTGCGATAACCTGTTGCTGGGCCCCGTCTTATATGAGGCAAGTGACTTTGTGCCATATGCCAGGACAACAGGAATGGCCACCTCTGTAGAAGGATAGAAAAACCTGAAGTCCTGGCGTGAACTAGAAAGGAAAGAACACAACAGATGTAGTAATTACAGGGGAGCTGTTCTAAGACACATCATGGTGTCACCTTTAACCACAACAGTCATTTAAAGGACCTCTGACATTGAAGAAATAATTTTGTTATATATATATATATTTTTTTTATTTTTTGTCACATTAAGCTGAATTCCAGGCAAACTGCTTCAAGTGACACATTGAAAAACCTATTAGGAAAGTTTTATCTGCCTAAGGATTTGTATTTCTGTCCTTCCCATCCAGAGATTTACACATCACACCCCTCTCTGACAAGGGCCATTATGTCACATGACTGAGTGTGGCCCATCTAGTGCCTGATGCAGCACCCTCATCCTAAGGATAGCTCCTTCAGTCACATGACCGAGTGAGGCCCATCTAGTCCCTGATGCAGCACCCTCATCCTAAGGATAGCTCCTTCAGTCACATGACCGAGTGAGGCCCATCTAGTCCCTGATGCAGCACCTCATCCTAAGGATAGCTCCTTCAGTCACATGACCGAGAGAGGCCCATCTAGTGCATGATGCAGCACCCTCATCCTAAGGATAGCTCCTTCAGTCACATGACCGAGTGCGGCCCATCTAGTCCCTGATGCAGCACCCTTGTCCTACCTTGGACCGAATCAATTAGGGTAAGCAGGAGACCAAGTACATGCCACCACACGGTCAGACTTCATCAATAGGAAATCTGACTGCTTGTGGAGGGCAGAAAATACATTTCACACCCCTTCCCTTTTCTTTTAATGATATTGTTAATATATCGCCTATCAATGTAACAAAAAATAGGACTTTTAATGACAGACGTCCTTCGAAATGAGACTTTTTTTTTTTTTAAATGTGTACTGAGACTGTCGCAGCAAGTTTTTTTTTTTTAGTCCGCCCGTTCTCACAAACCTTTACAGTTGTTTTACTTGCAGCAGTCAGACGAGAACTCAGTCCGGGGTAACTTGTTGTTTGTTTTTTTGTAGATAAGTCATTATGTGTATATACGTGTAGTGGATTGCGTGGCGTTCCCACCCATCCGAGGTCCGGTCTACGCCACGCCGCGTCCTTTGTGTAAATACACATGTGCACTCTGTATTTCTGATCTCTTGTACAGTCGGAGGTGTCTCTGCTTTCTGGCCGATGGGCGCAGTAACATCACATCCACAATGGGATGCTCACATTTATGTACTGGTCTGTTTTCCATTATTATAATTGGCCGCGCTTTGTGGAAGAGCCGCCATGTTCGGCGAGCATTTCAAAACCATCAAGTAGCTAACCTGAAGCTCCAGTCCGGGCAGAATACACCGGCATGGACGTGCTGATTATAGACCCGGGCACAAGCTTGAATATGCTAATGTCATTTCAGATCTCTTGCACAATATCAATAGATCAATAAAATGATCCCTGGTGATCCTGCCATGAAGGTCCTTGATTTAAGCACCCCCCTGTGTCCAAATTGTGGCAGTCACCCTGTCTCATTTCTTGACAGGCCCATCTTTAACGTGGGGCAAAAGAGGCAGTTGCCCTGGGCCCAGTCATTGTTGCCGGGCCCAAAGCAGCTGCCCCTTGAGCCTGCAAAAGATACGCACGCGGCACCGTTCTATGTACTATGGCAACAGCATCACATACTGTTGCTCTGCCCTATGCCGTGTAGCCTGACCATGTGACGTCTCACGCTGGGTATTGTCTCGCTCTGACGTCTGCTCCTGCCCGCTCTGCAGGAGGACGGCATCACACGAGGGAGGCTTCTGAGTAACGCGTGTGACGTGACAGAAGAGTGAGATGTGACATCCGGACTGAGCTACTGCTATACCACCAGGGCAGAGGCTGAGCTGCTGGGGGGGCATTGTGTATCCAGTCATTGCATGGCAGGGGTGGGCCAAGAAAATATTTGACCAGGGTCCAATCAGTAATAAAGATGGCCTTGGCCCTTGATGTGAGCTACAGGCATGATCCACCGTGGTCACCATCGGGGAAGGCCAGTGCAGAGCAAGGATGTGTAGATGACGCCGAAACGAGTGCATGTTGATAGGACCGGGATGAATAGGGCGGAGCCGATCAGCAGAACTGAGATCGTACAGAGGATGAAAACTATGTTACCATGCGGAGTAAAGTGTGTGTGTATACTACCTAAGTT